TGAGGGCAACAACACATTTTTTGTTTTGGCCTGTTGTATAGTAACACTACGTATAATTCTGTTAGTATAGGTCACCAAACAAAATATTGAGGTATGGTGGAATGTTTCTTCCATAGTAACCAATTGTAACGTACACAAAACATGCATATTTGATCAATTTTCGAGGTCGTTTTGTGTACAAATTGGTTCGGCGACCATATATTTGTTGTTCCCATCGGTCCGACATAGTCCAACACATAGACTTATGTCTTGGGATCCGTCCTTCTATGCGTTCTTCGTAATTTCCCAGAGACGCCTTCTTCGTCAGCCAAGAAACGTTGGTTTCGGATCACCCCTCCAAACTAACCTTTGGCAGATTGAACCACTACAGTTTGTATTTAATAGGCGCCCTTAACGACAAGGAGGGGAGATGCGACAAAAATAAACAGCCAATCTTTTATCAAAATACAGTAGAACGGTTTTTTTAACAGGCGACGCAAGCAGAACAGATCACGCATTTTTTCAAGATAAAAAGCCTCGCCAATCAAGCATTGTGTTCTATGAATCCTAATTAACCAATCAGTGAAAGTAATGTGAACCTGGAGGTACCAGTGTATATGTTGGTTATTGATCAAGCATTGTGTTCTATGAATCCTAAATAACCAATCAGTGAAAGTAATGTGAACCTGGAGGTACCAGTGTATATGTTGGTTATTGATCAAGCATTGTGTTCTATGAATTCTAATTAACCAATCAGTGAAAGTAATGTGAACTTGGAGGTACCAGTGTATATGTTGGTTATTGATCAAGCATTGTGTTAATATGCTAAATACTATTCCAATATTTAAACATATGCGTTTCAGACACTTAAAACATGACGAGGACTATGTCATTGACAATGACTTGTTATTTCAGAATTTTTAAAGTTACAGTTACCCAACCCTCTTTTTCAGGATTTCGAGTATGATAGTCAAAGCATGTAACTAACCGTTGTACGAAATTGCTCATCTGACTTCATGGGTTACTACTTATATTAGGAAATTCGTTAAACCTTTTAGTCATCAATTTT